TGGCCAGCTCCTGATGGCTTTAGGAAGGATGTGAGGAGGGCAGGGGAGCTTGAGAGCCACTTTCATCGCTCTCAGATATTAGATCCCATTTCCAAGGCCAAGGACGTGACTGATGCTGGGTTGCCTCTCCGAGCCTGCAAATTATTTATATTTGGCTTTTTTTCCTTAAAAGTTCATGAAGGCAAATGACAATTACAGCACTACTTGTAATAGACAGTAACAAAACAACTGGAAACAACCTATCCAGAAGTTCAGAAATGGTTTAAAATGCAAAGGCTGGATGCAGTGGCTCACGCCTGTAATCCCAGCACTTTGGGAGGCCGAGGTGGGCGGATCACCTGAGGTCAGGAGTTCGAGACCAGTCTGACCAACATGGAGAAACCCTGTCTCTACTAAAAATACAAAATTAGCCAGACGTGGTGCCGCATGCCTGTCATCCCAACTCAGGAGGTTGAGGCAGGAGAATCGCCTGAACTTGGGAGGTAGAGGTTGTGGTGAGCCAAGATCGCACCATTGCTCTCCAGCCTGGGCAACAAGAGCAAAACTCAGAGAGAGAAAAAAAGAAATGGTTTAAAATATTCCAGCGCATCTACAAAAGAGAAAGGCCTGTAGGTACTATTATTTAATGACCTAGTTCTTCATGCTGAAACTTCTCTGCCGTAATGCTAATGAAGAAAGCAAACTGCAGAGCACCATGATCCCATTTTGGGTTTAAAAATAGGCAAAAAAACCCAAAAAAACAAAAAAACCAAAAACAACTTTATCAGAACCATGTTTGGATCCTGATTGGAAGAAACCACTTGCAAAATGCCATTTTTTGAGATAAGGGAAACTTGAATACTAACTGGATAATAATATATAAAACCAAGGATTTTGTTTTTAAAATGTGTTTTAGAACAGATTTTTGTTAAATGTGACAAGATATTGTGATTAGGTAAAAAAAAAGTCCGCATTTTTAAAAGATGCACAGTGAAGAATATAGGGGTGCACTTACATGATTTTGGGATTGGTTTTAAAATAATTCAGAAAAGAGGAAAAAAGAAAAAAGGGGCTGGATTGAAGATAAGCGTATGGAGGTTGATTTTACCATTCTCTCTTCTTTTGTATATGTTTACATTTTTCTTTTTTTGCCATCTCACCGATTTAATAAAAAGTAGAATTTTCAATCAATCATCAGTCAATCTTTTCATTTCCAAAAGGATCAAATAACCTATGGGGCATAATAGGATCCATTCTTTTAATGTCTTCAAGGAACAACCAGAACATTTTAAGCAATTTTCAGTATGATGATACAAATAATTGAAACAATTTTCTTTCAAGTTTCCTGTCTAACTGGGTATTTCAAACAAAAATGCTATCATTGCTGAAGTGAGTTGATACAGGCTCTGAAATCTCCACATCACTTGACACCTCTGGGAAATTTAAGTGGCCTTCATATTTCAAGCTCATTAATACCAATGGAAATCACACCTGCAATAACAGAGATGAACTTTCAGCACATAGGAACCTGGCTTTCCATCACTGATGGACAGGGTATAACAGAATGGTGACTCTAGGCTGTATGTGAGTTGTAATTCCTGTCGTGTAGTTTTGTTACACTCAGCCAGTCATATACTTTTTTTTACCTCTTTTAGGCAACAATAGGAATTTGTGAAATGTTTTTTGTGGAGTCAAGAGTAAGTCTGTGGTTGGCATTATGAAGCTCTCTGATGCCATGGCCAGAATCTCTACCTACCTACTTTCTCTGTCTAAATCAAGATACATCTATTATTGTATCACTGTAAAAAACTGGGACAGATCATAGAGCTGAACATAATCCAAGATACACATAAAGCTATGAGTAAAGTTAATGTACAAAGTGTATATGGAGTGTACAATCTGTGTACAGTGGTAGAAAATGACCCACAAATTTGGCTAGGACCTAGAGATTAGCAAAAGCAAAGAGACAAATACAATCAGTTACAAGTCAGTGCACACGACTAGCATGAAACAAAATTTTCATAAGGAACAGTTTTCCTGGTATGTTAGTTGTTTTCACACTGCTATAAAAAATTCCAGAGACTGTAGGCCAGGTGTGGTGGCTCACACCTATAATCCCAGCACTTTGGGAGGCCGAGGTGGGTGAATCATCTGAGGTCAAGAGTTCAAGACCAGCCTGGCCAGCATGGTGAAACCCTATCTCCACTACAATACAAAAAAAATTAGCCGGGAATGGTGGCGCATGCCTGTAATCCCAGCTACTCAGGAGGCTGAGGCAGGGGAATCACTTGAACCCAGGAAGTGGAGGTTGCAGTGAGTCAAGATCGCGCTACTACACTCCAGCCTGGGCGACAAAGTGAGACTCCATTTCAAAAAAAAAAAAAAAAAACAACAACAAGAAAAAAAAAAAACCTCAAGACTGGATAATTTATGAAGAAAAGAGGTTTAATTGGCTCACGGTTCTGCAGGTTACACAGGCAGCATAGCGTATTTGGCTTCTGGTGAGGCCTCAGGAAGCTTCCAAACATGGCGGAAGGCAAAGTGGGAGTGAGGCTTCTTGTAGGGCTTCTCATCAGGCATCTCACGTGGCAGGAGGAGGAGCCAGAGAGCAAAGTGGGAGGGTGCTGCATATTTTTAAAAAACCAGGTCCCGTGAGAACTCACAATCACGAGAACTTTACCAGCGAGGACGGTGCTAACCCATTCATGAGAAATCTACTCCCTGTGATCCAGTCACTTCCCATCGGACCTCACCTCCAATGCTGGCGATCGCAATTCGACAGATTTAGGCTGGGACACAGATCTCAACCCTATCATCTTGTATTAAATCCAGAGAGATATTTGTGCTGTAGGTCTTTATAAAATTGAAAAATGTATGACAGAGAACAACGTTCTCAAAGGCATCCTGGCAGTAAAGTACAATAAGTAGCTAGTTTCCTAGGACTCTTTTTTATGACATACTTCAATGTAAGTTGATAGAATTATGTCAAAGAGGCTGGGCATGGTGGCTCACACCTGTAATCCCAGCACTTTGGGAGACTAAGGCGGGCATCTCTACTAAAAATACAAAAAATTAGCCCGGTGTGGTGGCGCATGCCTATAATACCAGTTACTTGAGAGGCTGAGGTGGGAGAATGGCTGGAACCTGGGAGGTGGAACTTGCAGTGAGCCAAGATCAGGCCACTGCACTCCAGCCTGGGTGACAGAGTAAGACTGTCTCAAAAAAAAAAAAATTTTTTTTTCAAATTATGTCAAAGAGCAATTTCATTAAAGTAATTCTTAAAAAAACCAAAATATATTGAAATTTTTCATAACAAAATATCTTGACTATGCGAGAGGAAAGTGCAGGAGAAAACCCACCATAAGTTCCTACCACCAGCTCTACCAGTGCCACAGATGCCACTTTTCTCCCTGTGGCTGCTCCCTCGCCTTCCCTACACAGTGGGAAGATTAAGTCAGTGGTTCCCCAGTCCAGTTAGCACAGGAACCACCCAAAGGGGTCAGAAGGGAGCCAACTGGGGTGAGAGAGTATCTGAGTTTCCTCTAAACACTGCTCAACTCAGCTCCCTCAGGGGTGGAAGCTGCTCTCATAAATAGTAAGTACATCTTTGGTTGGCAAGGCCCTGATGTAGCTTGGAAACCAGAGCCCTAGCAGATGGATGCCCTCCGACACTTAGTGCTGACTTGGAAGGAATTGCAGATTTGACAAAAATGTGATTCTGTCACTCACTGCTGCCCTTGTGTGGTGGAGGACTCATCCCTTTTCTTTTTGTCACATCACACAAGATGGATGCTGTTCGCATGTGAGAATTACTCCCAGGGGAGTTCCCGTCAGCTGTAACTCGTCCGCTCCCACTCAAGAACGCATTAGGTTTTGCAAGCCCGAAGTTATGCAAGGCAGGGGCTCATTGTGAATCCATGGTAATTTATAAAATTACTAAGTCACTGCAAAGCCTCAATGTTTTATTAGTAACACATTATTTGTAACATAGTTCTCAACAAATTAAGTCACCATATTGTCTTCCAGACTGAGGTTAAAACTCTCAGACATCTGTGCCTACCACCTAGACTACACTACCCTCTCAAGTTTGTCCCTAACCAGCTCCTAAGGGACTGGGATTACACTGCAACTGCATTTCAGGCACGCAGCACATTTATTTGAGTAAGGAAGCAGTTTGGTTCTTCCCTTTGGTGTGAGAGGCCACAGGACATAGTGGTTAGTAACAAGGCTTTCGATCAAACGGCGGCCCCAGGCCCAGCCCCTCTTCTCTGTACCTTATTAGCTAAGTGGCCTTGGGCAAGCCATATAATCTTTCAAACAATGGGATTAAGATTAGTACAATTACTATTAACTCACAGAAATAATAGAGCAAGAGTGCCTGGCTCACACCAAGTATTTGGTAACTACTAGTTATTTCCATTCATGTCACCTGTCACCTCCGCCCTGTGGCAAGCTCCTTGAGGAGCTTTATCTTGTTTCTTTATGCTTAGCACAGTGCTTGGCACAGGATTGTTCTGTGTAGGTTGCTGAGTGGATGAATCCTTCCACACTCATCCATCCAGGTAACATGTATTGAGCAGCTACGTTCCAGGCACTGTTCCCCTTACTGCAGACAGAGCAGTGAACAAAACAGCAAGGTCCTGGCCTCGTGTTGCCTATGTTCTAGTGGGGGAGAACAGACAAGTTAAGTGTGTACTGGGAGAGAGGGAGAGAAATAGAGCAACTAGAGCAGAATTGAGGGGGCTAGCAAGGTTGTGGTGGGGGTGGGGGGCTTGCTCTTTTATATATCACAGAAGGTCTCCCTGAGGAGGTAACATTTGAGCAGAGGCTTAAAGGAAGTCAGAGAGCAAACCACAGGATTATCTGCAGAAGGTGCTTCAGGCCCAGGGAACAGCATGTGCAAAGGCCCAGAAGCAGGTACACGGATGGCATTTTTGAAGAAAAGAAGGCAGGTGTAGCTGGAATGATATGAGTGAAAGGCGTATCTCTTTTTCTATTTTCAAAATGAGCACACAACACAATCCAGAAATTGAAAAAGATGTATTAAAATATTCACAAAAATACAACTGAAGATCAAAAAATAATAATGAGCTTGATGGTTTTTCGTTATCTGATACATTTCCATTGAAAAACTACAGATAGTTTGAAATTTCAATCTCTAAGTAATGTCTTTTGCATGCTCCCGTACAGAATTAGTGCATAATTTTAAGAGGACTCTTTTTGCCAGGACGAAGACACGGAGAGGGCAGATCTGCCCTTTAGGGAACCCCAGTTCGTTATCTGCAGCCAGGCAAGGAGTGCTGAGGCACGGGGAAAAAGGGGAGCCAAAAGGGCTGCAGGGGTGGGTGTGCGGGGCTTGGGAAGAGGTCCTGCCCTGAGAGGCTCATCTCAGTGTGAGCAGCTTCCTCCAGGGAAACCCGTCCTGGCAGAGTGCCAAGCTGGCAGCTTCTCTTGCCTGGGGAGAAGGTTGGTGAGAACTGGTGAGGATTCTCTGCCAGAATGCCAGGGTGCTGACAGAGTTTGAGGTGTCTGGTTGGGCAGGAGGCCAAAAAGTCAGGCTGGGGAAGGGGGTGATCAGGGAGGAAACGGCCTCCAGGTGTCATTTGAGTGAGCGGCCCCCAGAGCACCAGCTTCACCAACACATGGTGCCGGCACTGCAAGAAGAAGTGAGGGCTCTTGCTCTTAGGGAGCACCGAAATGTTTCGTTTATTCATAGGAACTGTTGAGAAAGAAGTGAAAAAACAATGCCCCTTTTCTCTGTAAAAAAACGACTGTAAGGAAACATGACACAGGCCTATCTACAATGTGTGTCCTCTGTACCTCAAAGCACAGCCTTGGTCCGCTATGTGGTTTTCACGGTGGCAAAGGCTCACCACGAGTCTCAGCTTGAAGGATGGCGACAATCTAACACCCTTCCCCTCCAAACACACATAAGATGCCTTCCAAAGTCTCCCATAGTTTTCAAAATAGATGCCCAAAAAGTTTTAGGATGCAAGGCAGAGTTGACTACTTTGGGGAAATGTCTCAGGGCCAGCGCTATGTCACTGTGTGTCACTCTCTCGGGCTGGGCTTATGAACATGGAAGGCAGCAGGGCAGCCATTTTTCTCCATTCCACACAGAACAAAGAGCAGACGCTGGCCAGCTTCAGATGTATGTGGTGACCAAACCTGATCCCTGTTGACTCACACGGATGTGGCATGTAAGGTGGAGCGTTACAAGAATAACAAAAATAGCTCCTCAAAAAACAAAAGGATTCATGTGTGGGACAGAGTTAGTTTTGAAGCTCATATGCCCTTTATCTTATCACCTTGTGCACACCTCGAAATCTCAATCCTGTTTTATTCCCTTTATGAATTCTCTTAGAACTCAGCCTTCAAACCTCCCCAGAAGATGACAAGATGAGAAGAAAAAGCAGCAGTTCATAGTGGACTCCAAACTAGAGGCGAGAAAAAGTAACATTGCCCCTCACTCCCACTCACCCCAAACACGTTCTGCAGACCATCTAGACCGTATTCTTCCCCTAACTGTGGGCTTTAGGACAATTTTAAAAGGGGGGAAATTAAAAAAGAAATCCAGAAAAATGGGAGAAATGACAACATAAGTGTTTAATGATCTTCACCATGCTTTCCATTCCCAGTAAAAAGTAAAAACTCATAGATTTTAAGTGGGGTGGGGAGTAGTGAATGGGAGAAAACAAGTTTTAGGAAAGGACAGCCAAACTATCTAATCTAGGCTCTCATTAACCTCAACAGTCTTTGAGGTACCATGAAGCTGTTATAAAGCCATGACTGATGCTGCTTCTTGCTGGAAGCATGACTGACGCTTTATAAAGAAGGTGACTCTTGCCAGCTGCAGTGGTGCAACTATAGTTCGTTCCAGCTACTCGGGAGGCTGAGGAGGGAGAATCACTTGAGCTCAAGAGTTCAAGGCTAGTCTGGGCAACATAGTGAGCCTCTACCTCAAAAAAAAAAAAAAAAAAAAAAAAGAAAAGAAAAGAAAAAGAGAAAGAAAAAAAGCAAAAGAATGTGATTCTCTAGAGAGCAAGCTCTAGGATATTGGAGAGTGGCCGAGTGGCAACATAATGATCCCATTTCTGCCTACTTAGAAGGAAAGAAACTCCTCTCCTTTAGCTGTATGGTAACTGTTATTTCAAGCAGAAAGGACATCAGCAAAGAATAAAACCGATACCTTTTACTCTCCATGTTACAAAAGTTCTCAAGCAAAGCTTGGATTTTCTACTTAATCAGTATTGATCCAACAGTATCCAGAATGAAGTGACCTTCGGCATTTATCCTTTGCTAATCTTGCATTATGAATCCAGAAATTGATACGACACGTTTCAAGGATGCAACTTAAAGTAAGTCTACACAACATGTAAGGCTAAAAACTGCCCCATATTTTAGCGAGGAAAACATCAAAAAAACTTCTCAAATTGTTTTCAAGTGGCATAGCCAATGGATGTTTTTTAAAAGCTGCAGACAAATAAATGGTACTGGTACTGTGTTAAAGGCTCCTGGGTATGCTTCCATCATAGCATCCCCATCCTCCAACTACAATAAATGCTAAGACTGATTAAGCCCTTAGATTAAAAGGCCATGTCTACTGCAAATACTACAGGATCTGCTATTGTCTCCATTAAGGCAAACCATTTCTAAATGATGGTGAAAGGAATGTTTCTGAAATCTCCCAATTGTAAATGACCTGAAAAGAAAGTACAAAAACAGCAAGACAATGGGTACATATGTAGAATCATATCATCTTTTCATCATGCAACACTGGCTCCTCACATCAGGAAGATTAAATAGAATATTTATACGTATCCTTTGTACACATCTTTCTCTCCCTCCGTGAGTACACATGTACTTGTCCTTGCCTGGGTCTCCAAGGCTGCATGTGCAATGGGCTACATTTTCTGCACAAGAGTCCAGTTTGGTTTTGTTTCTTGCTGAGAATATGTTCTAGGTCTTCTCTTAATTTTTTCGGATATCCGCATACACCACAGACTCTGACTTGTTAATCTTGTCACTGTGATGTCCGCCGGAGTGGTCTAACTGTGCATATATGACTGGGCCCTGGAAAAGGGATGCAGAAGGATTAGAGGTTTGAAAAAGCTGACAGTTCCTTCAGCTACAGGCATAGAAGCAATGATTAAAGTGATCACATCAGGGTTCCAAAGCAAAGACTTCCCTCTTTTGAATGTCTTCAGGAAGACTTCTTATGGATGATATGTCCAGGACTGACTTTGAAACAAGATTGGACATACGTTGACAATAGTTAAAGCAGGTACATGGGGCTTTGTTACATTATTCTTTCAAACCTTTTTATTATATTTTATTTTTATTTATTTATTTATTTTTGAGGTGGAGTCTCGCTCTGTCGCCCAGGCTGGAGTGCAGTGGTGTGATCTCGGCTCACTGCAAGCTCCACCTCCTAGGATCACACCATTCTCCTGCCTCAGCCTCCCGAGTAGCTGGGACTACAGCCGCCTGCCACCATGCCTGACTAATTTTTTGTATTTTTAGTACAGACAGGGTTTCACTGTGTTACCCAGGATGGTCTCTATCTCCTGACCTTGTGATCTGCCCACCTCAGCCTCCCAAAGTGTTAAGATTACAGGCGCAAGCCACAGTGCCTGGCCTCAAACCTTTTTGATGTTTGAAAATTTCCGTAATAATATAATATTCCTTCTTAGGAATATCTCTTATCTTTTTTTTTTTTTTTTTGAGACGGAGTCTCGCTCTGTCGCCCAGGCTGGAGTGCAGTGGCCAGATCTCAGCTCACTGCAAGCTCCGCCTCCTGGGTTTACGCCATTCTCCTGCCTCAGCCTCCCGAGTAGCTGGGACTACAGGCACCCGCCACCTCGCCCGGCTAGTTTTTTGTATTTTTTAGTTGAGACGGGGTTTCACCGTGTTAGCCAGGATGGTCTCGATCTCCTGACCTCGTGATCCAGCCGTCTCGGCCTTCCAAAGTGCTGGGATTACAGGCTTGAGCCACCGCGCCCGGCCTAATATCTCCTATCTTAATAGCTATTACAGAAATCCTCATCTCTTTCCAATGGGGTAAGAGTCTTAAGGACTAAGATGGGAACTTCCACCCACCTGAGACCCACAGAAATCATGAGCTTCAGAATGATCAATCCATGCAAGAAACCAACATATTTGGTGCCACCCAAAGATACAATCAATTTAATCTGGTCACATTATACAAATAGGTATAGTTTTAAGCAAATAGTTTAAAAGCATTTCAAATATTCTTCAATACAACTACTTACAGCATAATTCTTTTAGTCTGAGCCTATCGTGACCAATACAAATATTGCTTCCTTGATTTCTAATATTAGATAACTGTTCTTCCTGTTTTAAAATAAAATTAAAAAGAAAAAACAAAAAACCACAATCTACACAGATAGAAAGAAAACCCCTAAATGGAGTAAAGTAGAAAAGATCCTCTTCTTAGCCTCAGCAGTAAGGAAGAGGTTACAATTCCAGGGAATTGTCAGGGTCCCATCCAGGAGAGCAAGGGAAGGTTGGAAGGCCTGGGGGCAGAGCGAATTCCCTAACTGTTGGGGGAAGAGGTCAGATAGGTGGCTGCACTTCATAACTCCTTCAGTCCAGACTCTTAAAATCGTAAACAACAATAAAATAGCCCTGGTTTTAAAAGAAAAATTTAATATTACCCAATGTCAACTTTTCTCCCAATCTAGGGGAACTCTCCTTGAGAAGTCTAATAACGTGCTTAAGCTTTCACTTTTGAAATCATAAGCTCAGTAGCCAAAAGCACATGGTTTAAAATAAACACACTTGCCCTCATCCAGGAGCCCTAACAACCTGTGTCCTTAGTGTGTAACCTGGGGTTCTGTGGAGTTCAGGTACTCCAAAGTCTACAGAAGGGACAGGCCCAGTTGTAAGGGCTATACAATGGTGCATCTAAAAACGGAGTTAGAAAATAACACTCGAGGACTAGATCCATTTGAATGTTGGCAGATCTGCAGTCTGAATTACGATATCGTCTTTGTTGAACCTTAGAGAAGAGCACTGGTCATGCGGTCCTGGGCATATTTGTAAATTTCTAAGCACAAGTTTCTTCATCTCTAAAATGGTACTACTAGTAATATCTACATTTTTGTTTTTTGTTGTTATGAAAATTCAATAAGATGATACCTATAACTTAGGCAGTGTCTCACAGATAGTACTTAATACATGTTACTTATTATTATGAACATCTTGTTACACAAATACATTTTAAAATGCACTAAGGTAACTGATCAAGTAAATTAACTGATCAAGTAAACAAACTCTGTGTTTATCTTTAGTCTACAATGGCTGTCATGGGTAACATTGACAGATCACATGGTTAATAATCATACAAACCCTCTATATTCACCTCAGAAAGCTGCAAGTTAAATGCTAACCCCACCAAAAAACAAAAGGAAGTTAAAAAGACTGTTTTCGGTCAGGTGCGGTGACTCATGCCTGTAATCCCAGCACTTTGGGAGGCCGAGGAAGGCGGGTCATGAGGTCAGGAGATGGAGACCATCCTGGCTAACACGGTGAAACCTCGTCTCTACTAAAAATACAAAAAAGTTAGCCGGGCGCGGTGGCGGGCGCCTGTAGTTCCAGCTACTTGGGAGGCTGAGGCAGGAGAATGGTGTGAACCCGGGAGGCGGAGCTTGCAGTGAGCTGAGATGGCACCACTGCACTCCAGCCTGGGCGACAGGACGACACACTGTCTCAAAAAAAAAAAAGACTGTTTTCTACTAGGAACAGAATCAAAACTAACTGTTCCCTGGTAACAGCTATTTCAAAGAATAGGA